TTCATTGGTCAACCCACATCCACGACTGCATTGGTAAACTGCGACGCCTTTCATTTCAAATACGAAAGCTCAGGCAGTTTCGCGCATCCCAGTCAGTTATTTCTACTTTTGTTTATCAATGTATTTTCCCCATCTTACTCTACTGTTCCCCAGTCATTTTTCCTGGTTTACTCAAACAAGACTTCAAAGTCTTACGACGCAGTCTAACCATTATTAGTCGTCTCTTCCATTCCTGTGAATGAATTAGCTGTAAAACTTTCAGAGTATCACGTAACTTCCTGTGTGAAATTTGCTGAGAGGATTCTCACAGATCCAGACCACCCATTGCATGCAGAACTGACACTTTGTCATTCCCATCATTCAACACGTTCCCAATTCCGCCAAATTTCATCTCGAATTAATGCATGCCGCAATTCACCCATACCGCATCTTGCTCGTTTACTCACAAACAGAGAGCGAACAATAAGTAAACTTTGTCTTAACCTTGGATTATGAATGTCCCCATGCCTGCGAAAACTTTTCTCCCCGTTGATTATGTACATTGTGACGGTTAACGTGTATGATTTTTTAACTGAAATGTGAGCCCCAGTGTTTGCAAAAGTTGTACACAATACAATTCAAAATCGGAACCAGTGGCGATAACGCTGAAATTTTGGTGTTAACTTCAGCTCATCCCCGAAGGACAAGCAACACGAAAGCCGGTTAATCCAAATTCCCATGAAATGCTGTGAAAATAACGGTGTTGCCGCATTGGCAACAGTGGTGGCTCCATCTCCGCAACCTAAATAATTGTCGTTTAGACGACAGAGAGTTACATAGAACCGTTGATGAACAGCTGGATAATGCGGCGGCGCAAAGTTTTTCCATATCTAAAAGCACTAAATGTACTTTTTGAGTGACAAGACTGAATTCCAGAAAACTTTCAAGCACCTTAGTTTTTCTGCGTTCTCCAACGTCTTTGAGATAATTCTGATTTACTAGGATAAAGTCAGTTCTGAAACATTTTACATTTGAGGGTACAGAACGTACGTAAAAAAAGCAGTAAGCTGACAAGAAAAAATTGTAGTTAACTGGAACCTCAGGCTATGACTTAGAAAGAAATGTAAGTCTATGATAGTCCATTATCAGGAGTCAGTACAACGTGCCGAGTTTATGGTGTTACTCCGTAATAAAATTATGTGACGATTTCGATCACCCTTAATGGAATAAGAAAAACTGCTGAGGGGTAGGACAATTGGTCAGTCGTGGCTAAATCGACGTACAGCAAGTAGAACTACTACGTTGCTATTCGTACTTATGCACAGCTAGTAATGAACAGCATATAAAGGGTCGGATAATGTCCTTAAACAAGCAGCAGAAAACACAGGCTATTCGCCGGAATCCCACTTTACGGTGCTCAGTTTGTTAGAAGGAAGACACTAAGTTGTGGATAGATGGGATAAACGTAATATTTGCACCAGAAAGAATTTGCGCTTACCCGGGCTTTCGACACGTTTGTAGTGATATGGATTGATACAAACTTCATTCTCTTTAGCGGAGAAGGGAAACCGGCAACAGTCCAAGGGTTTCAATTCGTGGTGGCTTTGAAGATCTGGCCAACGCCAGACCCGACAATAAATTACATGAGGCAGTCCCTTTCTATGAGAGACCTGAAGACGACCGTCCAAAGATCTCGGGATAGTAACACACTCTGAAATTTCACCTGGGTTGCTCAGTGCCCGCTCGAGAGCTTCCAGGGCACCTTTCTTTTTCTTCAACTTTTTCACCAATGAATCCACGGCTTTTTCCGCCCACTTTTCTTCCTCATCGCCTTGTTTCCATCCAAGAAGACGCTTAACAGCGGGAGATGTGAAGGAAAACAAGCTATTGAGACTGGAAATCGGAGTTGTCATCGCTCATATGCACATTTAAACATCGATAATTCCAATAAATGGATGACACCCCTCCATGTTCCGCAATAAGTTAAACCACGCGCGATCAATCTGCGGTTTCAGTCAGTCAGTCAGTCTTGAAGTCTTGAAGTGTCTTGAAGTGATTCACGGGTTCGAGGCTGTTGACAAAATGTCCCGGGTCCTTGAAAGGTATCTGTGTTTTCTTTTGGTTTGAATTACCTCTAG